CGAACGAACATGAGAGCCATTTTTGGCGAGACAATGGAAAATGAAGATTAACGACTTTGCAACTCAGCGTTCCTACAGTGTATCAGATGGGCTTAAAATAGTTTGGGCGGACACTCCAGAGATATACGTGTATAACTCATCGAATACTGGAGGAGTATTTGTTAGGACTTATAGATGGGGTCGCCGCCTCAAATTCTTATTTTTTATTGCATAGATTCATTGAAAAGGAGTTCAGGATATTTGAATCAGTTGTTTTCAAAAACGAACAGATCCATTTTCGATGAGTCTTAGTTAACATGTCCTTTTATGCGAGCCAAGGTTCATGGAAAAATAGACTTATTTCTTTTTGAAAACAAGTGATTCATTTGAAAATATATACGGATAAGCAGTTTTAAAGTAAATCCCATGAAAACTCCAATTTTGTGATTTAAAATTTTGATTCGAGTCAGAGTGTACTCATTTTTTAGATTCTCTAAGTGTCAGGTATAAATTTGTGACAACACAATTTCAAATGGTAATAAATGCGTATTGTTAATCTACTCATGTTTTATTTTTTTCAAAAAGAGACTAATTAACAAATCCTCTAGATATTTTCTATACCAAATCTTTCTTCACTCAATTTTAATTACTCATTTTATTAATATTCCCAGCAAATTTTAAAGATATATCTCGGTTTTTTTCCTTTTAAAAAGTAATTGATACCAAGGATTTTTAAAAAGCGCAATACGCAGTTTTGTCACTTCAGCCAAAACTGTTCAGTGATGCATGGAGTGGAACCATGGACGCAATTTATTTTTCCCTTGATTTGTTTGAATTCTCCGTATTGAGCGAAATATGACTACTTAATATAAACAATCTATAAGCCTTTAGGAAACCTCTTTTTCCAAACAAATTGATTCGCAAGACACTAAAAGTGCCTTTTGATGCTAATTTGCCTAATTTTCACATGAAAGAGGAAAAATCGGTGAAAACTTCAGTCAAAAACGCCCGAGTCTCTCCTGGTTAATACGCAATTTGCTAGGAAAAATGTGGCAACTATGAAATGTAGTTATACCCTTTCATGGGGGAAACGAAGAATTAGGAACTAATATTTCTGGCTCATCCATAGAAGAACCTAAATGCAAAAAGAAACATGCGGCGCGTACGTTGTTACTAAAACGAGCTTGCAATAGCAGTTCCTTATGGCTAAAACTTGCTTACTATCTTATGAATTCTGCTCAATTACACTTTATAACCCCATAACTTCACCGACAAAAATCGGCACTGATTATTGAGTCTCTGCTGTATTACGCGGCAAGACATGAGTATCATTAGCTCAGTTCATCAAATTGCACCTCTTTTTCTGAGAGTCAATTAGTGAAGCGCAGGATCCTGACCAAACAATCTCTCTGACGTTGGTCCAACGTAACACAGATAAACCAAGTAGGTGGAGTGGTGGCTTTTTTGCGCTAAAGCCTGAGAGTTACTGAACTTAAAGAAATACTTCCTAGTAGCACAGTCTTTCCACGATTTACATTTGCATTCGATTTCAACCGATTTAAACGATGTACAGTGCAAAAAATATAGTCTGTGCTTGACATAATCAAGATAGTCTCTAAAAAAAAAAAAAAAAAAAAAAAAAAAAAAAAAAAAAAAAAAACCAAAGAAATGTGAGAGAACATGTTCATTAAAGTGGAAAACGCTTTTTTCGTACTTGGATGTAAAATGGGGAAATTTTTAAAGCGGGCAACGTAAAATTTCACACAGGAAACTTCGATGAGAAAAAATACACTAAGGTGTTTAATTTTGCACCCTATCTAGTGGTCGGTGGCGATTCCAGCAAGTTGGCAAAACTTGCAAACTTGCTAGTTGGCAACATTTTTGAAATGCCCTTTAAATCCATTGAATGTATAGATTCTAGGTGAGACAGGGCTGGCTCACCTAGGATCAATTGGGCTACATTTTGCAATTAGGACCTACAATTTCTTTTACATCTTTAAAAACACTTATGTGCGTAGGGAAACTAATGGTGCTTAAGTTGTTTCTAAACTGAGCTAGAAATTGTAGTCCCTAATTGCAGCCTACTTACAAATATAAGAAATGTTCTACTTCATTTTTTCAAAAAATTCTAGTCTACATAATTTAAAAAAGTCTAGAAATTACTATATAGGTACCTTTTAGGAAGCAAGAATGTCAACATTGAATGTGCACATCAATGCTAGCTCAGTACTCAATTGGAATGAAGTTGAAAAAAAAAAGAAGAAGTAAATCGATCTGGACATTAGATCAATTCTTTGACCCGATATCGTGAAAAGCTCACAGACAGATCATATCTTTACAACCTTAAAACAGTTTTCGGTGCGTCAATCCCCAAAACGCGGCGGATCGACCGTAAAAAAAAAACAAGTAATGAATTGTCATGAATTGACATACTCGACAACGGTGCGGTGCAGTAAAGTGAAATATAAAAGTTGAATAGATCAGTTCAACTTATTGCAACGGTTCTACTGTGGCCATCGGGTCATTGTTCTTGATCATGAACCTCAAGGTTTCGAGTTCAACGATACCGCTATCTCAGATAGCTGCATTTCATTACTTACTTTCAGCGTCAAATCTGTTACCTTTGATCCACCGAATCCAATCAATTGATTAGGTTTGGAAAATGAGCTTTTTCAATGAGTGACTGTGTTGAATGCTATGAAAAATGACGATATTTATGATATGGACGCCAGCGCCAAGCCTTCAAAATTTGAAATGAATTTTGCTAAAATATTAAAATATTTTCTCGAAAGTCACAAACTGAGATATTTTTTCTGCATTTCAGCTTCATTAATTTGCTTTTGATTTTACAGTCACTTATAAATTTATTTCATTATGCTACAATGGCTACACAGTTTTCGAACTAACCAATTTGCAGCTAAATTTTACGACAGCATATAGTCCAGGTCAATAAAATTGATACAATTCAAAGGAAGGTTTTTTTTTAGGTTTAGACCGCATAAATATTTAAAAGTTTAAGAAACTTGCAATACTTTTCTCAATGCCACGGTGCACTCAGAGAAAATGGTTTCTTTCGACAACAAACTGCAGTCAAAATTTCTCAATAAAATAATCTCAATTAACCTAACATAAAATTAAAATCTTATATGTATTTGATGGGTTGGAGTAACAGGCTGAATTTTATCTCATTGTTAGATTGCAACTCTCGCTCAGTTAGCGAAAATTTCTTTTTGCAGTCTTTTTTCTATGATGGAGAGAAAAAACTACTGTTGCCTACTCCTTAAAGTCTCTAGGAATTTTGCCCTATCAATTGAATACTATACCGTAAAAATATCAGGGGATGTTCTGTGCTGTCATCAGCTATTCCTCAATGTATGAAAATAGCAGGAATTTCAAAACATCTTGGTGCAGTAATATGGTGAAGAGACTTTAACGCAAGGTTATAAGAATAGAAAAGCAAGGATAACTCGCTGGAGGCTGATCTGAGCAGAAATTTGCACCAGTAAGATATTATGACTCTAGTAAAAATTGATCATGAGAATGATCGTAAAATGTGTAAAACAATTCAGGGGCTTGGAGGACAAGGCGCATGAGTGCAGTTTTTGAAATAATGTCGGTTACTTTTTTTTACAGCGTATTGGACATTGTTATTGATTTCACAGAGATTTCCACGGATTCCACATTAAGTATGAAATCACCGAAATAGACAACACATCAAAAATTATCTGATTTGTATAAAAACGAGACATATGAGACAAAATGAAATATGAAATAAAATTCGTCGATTTTCAATCATCCAAACGAAATCAATGAATTTTTGGGATGTTGGTGTTAATGGAGAATTTGCATGCACATTGCTTCATCGAAAAGTGCTTGAAGAGCTGATTTCACGGTATTTTTTATAATTTTTCTCTGATATGCAAAATAGTATCAACATAGATTTAAAATTGAGAAAATGCACCGCTTAGTGACGTCATCTGGCGGCATTTTCCATTTAAACACACGTATTTTAGCAGATTCAATAATTTTGTCATATCTTCTCCAATAATTGATCAATTTATGAACCAATGGTATCCTCGAGTTTAGTTCACTCAATAGTTTCCACTTAAACACGAAATTCATCAAATTTCAGACACCTGAAAATTCTCTGTTTGACGAAGAACGGAGGCTCCTCTCAATAAAATTTCCCGCCCAGACGCTACTGAGCACATTCTCTCAAAACTTCATTTGAATCAGTGAGAACGAAAACACACCGACTCGAAAAAATGAAAAAAATCAAGACAGGTACAGAACTGCACAGAAGGTGAAGATGTTAGTCTAAGAAAAAGATCTTTAGTGCCGAAAGACAAGTACTGAAGGATACTTTACAGATGCAAGTTGAAACAAATGCGCTAACTTCAATGATCTTTATAAAAATTGACTGCCTTTAATGAAAATTGAACATTTTCAGGTTACCGACTCGGTGTGTTTTCGTTCTCACCGATTCATTTTTGCACTTCCCTATCACGGCAGCACTGGGTGTGATATCAAAGTTAGGACTGTCAAAAAAAATGTTCTAAATCACGCCTGCCTAAACTTGAAATTTACTGTGCTTTACCGGGTGTAAAAACTATAGCTACTTTGGGGCTCCGGATAATTGTGTGTCGGTTTTTTGAAAGCTCCATGACTGCACTGCACGTATGCCCACATGAGTTGATTGACATCATTTTATTTCATCATTTATTGTAAATTTTAAGAAGCATTTGTTTTAACTTTGACGTTGGTGTGTTTTCGTTCTCACTGATTCATTATTGCACTTCCCTATCACGGCAGCACTGGGTGTGATATCAAAGTTAGGACTGTCGAAAAAAATGTTCTAGAGCGATCCGATGAGGGTGTCCGGTGCGGCCGACGCTCGGCTTTCTCCGTGGTCGCGAGAAAACGGCGAAAATTTTCCTGGCGAAGAAATTGCCCTCCGAGCCGGGAGCCGAAGGTCGCCGGCTTCTGCCGGACCACACCCCGCAGGCAGCCGGGAGCTTTTCAGTATAAAACAATCCCTCCACCCGAGGAACAGCACACTTGTACAGTTAGCTCACTTAGTTAAACATTAGCGCGACGACTCGGCAAAATGTTTAAATTGGTAAGTTTTTATTCCATTCCCTTGTTTTGTAGAGTTGCTGAAGTGCGGCGTCTGTTGTCAAATCTACCGATAAAAAATTGTATGCGTGGACGGGTTGGATGAATCGGTCGCGAGTCCCCTTGTTTTGATGAAGTGGTCAATTAATTAGTAGCATCATACACAGTTTCGAATCCGTACCATCACGCCTGCCTAAACTTGATATTCACTATGATTTACCGGGTGTAAAAAATATACACTGCTACTTTGGGGCTCCGGATAATTGTGTATCGGTTTTTTGAAAGCTCTATGACTGCACTGCACGTATGCCTACATGAGTTGATTGATATCATTTCATTTCATCATTTATTGTAAATTTTAAGAGGCACTTGTTTTAACTTTGAGGAATATCGTACTTATAACAAATTCGGGTCATGAAAAAAACTCTAATTTTTTATTTTCCAGTTTTCAGTTTTTGGGGGTTGATATTACATTTCAAGGTTAGGTACAACCATGAAAGTAGGGGAAACACTTGCTTTGGGGTTACCTTGATATGAAATCGAGTCTGCAAACCATTTTTATGAATGCATCGAATCTTGTAAAGTGTTATTGACAAAAGGTGACTCAAAATTTAGAAAATTGGTCCTGTCTTAAGTTTCGTTAAAAGTATTTTTATATAATCTCCAAAATCACACCTACAAAATCTGGAGCAAGGTATTTAGTTTATAAGTGAGTCATAAATTTTAAAATTCAGTTTTAAATCTTCCTTTTATTTGGAATGCTTTAAGATTGTTTAAAATCTGAAGTGACTGACCGAGAGCTGCTCTTACACTTTTAGTCTAAATGCAAGTTTCCATGAAATGCCTGCGCTTAGATTTTCATTGAGTGGTGCCTTAAATTTTTTCGTAATGTCCTTTCATTTTATAAAAAAAATTTCATTGAAAAATTCCGAGATATTTCAAATTGCATCGCATGAGCTGTTTTATATTTAAAAAGTTTCAGCTTTTATAACGTCGGTGACAATCGCACATAAATACACAATTTAAAAAAATATTTAAAATAATCAAATTGTCCTCCCTCCCCCTAACTCAAACTTAAATGTTTTATGTTGGCTCTCTTTTTCTGCTCATCCTTATTTTGCGTTTTTAGGATTAAATAAAAGCCGGATTAATGCACTGAAATTAGATTGCCTCTCTTGTACCGTGGACAAGTATTTAATTCTTTCCCCGAGAAATTTCTTACTTTTTCAATATGTGTTTACCCTCGAAGTGGACTAGTCATGTTCTTGTGCTTCATTTGAAGGTGACAGAACGTGTCACTACAATGCTCATATTTTGATCCTTTATTGTTCAAATCTCTCTTTAGTTTAGATTGTTATCGGTTGACTCTTGCTACTAAAAATTTCCTAACATCGAAAAGATTCCATTCTTTACCCTTGTATGAAAAATCATTCTGAAATTGTCGTTTTTTCAAAGACTCTCATAAAACAAGATTTTCTTGATTCCTCACTACGGAACCCGATCGTTCAAGAAATATCTTGTTTGTGGCTGCGGGAGGAAGATGTGTAAATGCCTATTTGACCATTTCTCTTACATTATCCTATACACCCTCCCCGGCAAAATTGTTTTATAGGGCTAAGGGCATTTTAAAAAGTAACAATAATAAAAAAAAATAAAATAAATTAATAATAAATGTGTTATACTTCAAAAAGTCAATCTTTCAAATTGTTCGGCATGTAGATTGCTGATCTCTAAATTCTCATGGACTACTTTGATATCGAACTTAAATTATCATACTACTCTTGTCTCAATACAGTTGAAAATTTCAGTCCCAAAATTTGACCAAATACTCTGTTATTGCAGGTTGTGTTCGCTTGTGCCGTAGCCCTAGCTTCTGCTGGTGGCCCAGCTGCTGGTCTCTACCCTGCCGGCACTTACGGTTACGCTGCTGGCGCTTACGGCCTCGCTGCCCCAGCTGCCATCGCTGCCCCTGCTGCTTACGCTGCCCCAGCTGCTTTCGCTGCACCAGCCCCAATTGCTCCTGCAGTTGCCGCTGTTAAATACGCCGCTCCCGCTGCATACGCCGCCCCCGCTGCATACGCCGCCCCCGCTGCCATCGCCGCCCCAGCTGCCTACGCCGCCCCAGCTGTAGCTGTTGCCCCTGCAGTCAAGTACGCCGCCCCCGCTGCCATCGCTGCCCCAGCTGCCTACGCCGCCCCCGCTGCCATCGCTGCCCCAGCTGCCTACGCCGCCCCCGCTGCCATCGCCGCCCCAGCTGCCTACGCCGCCCCCGCCGTAGCCGTCGCGCCCGCTGTCAAATACGCCGCACCAGCAGTAACCATCGCTCAAGCCCCAGTTGCCACCCACATCAAACCCGCTGTCACCTACACCGCCAACCAACAAGTCGGAACTGAAATCCAGAAGACCGTCCACATCGCCGATGTTCCCCAAGTGACCGGATACAGCCAGAGCATCATCAAGCCCAACTTGGGACTCCTCGCCACCCCACCCTTCCAGTACGCCCAGAGCCCAGTCGTCGCCGCTGGCCGCAAGGTCCAGACCATCATCCCCCAGGTAAGATCCACCGAGACCTAACATATTTGACCTCCATTGAAAGAGAAAAAAAATTTCAAGAAGTTTAACTCTTCCAGAATTATTAACAAAAATTAGTATGAAATGTGACAAACACTAAAAAATATTGGAAAAATTTCTAAAATCTTATTCTTTCAAGTCGAAAAAGACAAATCTCAAGGAGCAATTCATAGACAAGAACACGAATTGAGATTTTCTAAAATATAATGAAAAAAACGTGTGAAGCTTCTTAACGTCGAAAAATTCGAGTTCAAGTTGTGTCCAATCATTAACTTTCAATTTTTTTGTTACTTCAGTGAATGAATTTGCTCCATCAAGGACTCAGCCCCAGTTGATTCACCCCTATGAAATGAGAATTTTAATCCTAAAAAAATAGCATATTCTCTCACGGGAAGCACACATTTTAGATGACAGTGTAACCTCTTGCTCAAAAACTAATTGTCCTTTTTTTCACACAGGAAACCCGCGTCCAACCCGAAGTCCATGTCCAGAAAGTGCCTTACGACGTGCCCGTCCCCCGCCCCTACGTTGGAGAAGTTGAGGTCCGCACCCCAGTTGTCCAGGGCCCAACCCCCGTCGTCCACGAGAAGTACCCAGTCCAGGGCGCCCCCATCGTAGCCCCCGCTAAGGTCGCTGTCCACGACATCCCCACCCCAGTTGCCGCTGCTCCAGTTGCTTACGCCGCTGCCCCAGCCGTCGCTAAGGTCGCTTACGCCGCCGCCCCTGCCGTAGCTGCCCCAGCTGCCTACGCCGCCGCCCCTGCCGTAGCTGCCCCAGTTGCCTACGCCGCCGCCCCTGCCGTGGCTGCCCCAGCTGCCTACGCCGCCGCCCCTGCCGTAGCTGCCCCAGCTGCCTACGCCGCCCCCGCTGCATACGCCGCCGCCCCAGCTTACGCCGCTAAGTTGGCCGCTCCTGTCGCCTATGCTGCCCCAGCATACGCCGCTCACGGAGCCTACATCAAGAAGTAAATCTCATACACCTGTTCACCAGCAACCTCTCTTCCCTGCTAGATCTTCATCTCCAATACTTGAGTTCCTATTCCGGCCTTTTGTTGACCAACAAAAGCCCTAGCCGAAAATAGTTTTTAAATGTTTTCTTTTTTTTCTCACAATAAAACTGACTGTTGTGCCAACTTCAGCGTTGTCTCGTTTTTTTCTGAAAGTAGATGTAGTGAGATCTTTATTTATCATAGAGAAAGCTTTATAATTGATTCGATGTCTTCAAGGCAAAATCATGCAATGCAATTATGCCGTTAAGGGCGGGTTTTTAACAAAATTTGAATCGCTAGATATTTGCTTTCACTTGAACTTAATTTTAGTGCATCTAGCAAAGTGAGGATATAAGCGTTAAGCGATGTATAGAAAATTATTTAGTCATTGTGCAGGGTGCCTCAGCAGTTTGTTTCATTCCCCAAACTTTTCCACGATGAAATACGCTTTTGTTGAACATTTTTTATTTATTAATTTTTTTTATTAATTTATTTTATTATTATTTTACATCTACTTTTTAAATTTTAGTATAAATTGATACATCTCCAACAACTTCATCAGTGGGTAATACAACAACAATCCAATTATATTTCCAAAAAAACAACTTAAAAAACCCCGTTAATACCTCAGAGTTTGCAGCATTTGCGAGAAAACCTAATCTAAATAAGCAAAAAATCTAAAAGCAAGTGAAATTTTTTAAATAACTTAAAGCATCACAAAGAATTATGGAGTAACAAAAAGCATGAGAACAATTGAAATCATACATGAGAAAAAATTTAAAATCTATTTAGATATAGTTTATTTATTTTTATCGTCATTTTCGTTATTTAGATTGTTTGCTTTTTTAGAAAAGGTTTTCGCGTGAAAACCAAACTTGGTCTGCCTAACGGGAAACCTATGAGCTGATAGATAAGGAAAACTACACTCGGCCGCAGTTTAAAAAAGCGCAGTAGTGACTAGGAACTTTTTGCAAATGAATTTTAGACATTCCTGATGGGCTGAACGTGATTTCCGCATGATTTTATAAGAAAAATAAACTCAATCAGTGCATTTCTTGTGTGCAACAAACCCACTCTGTTTCATAAGCCAACCTGACATTATTGAATCTATAGGAAACTGATGACAGCAATCGAGTAGTACATTTCAATACTAACTATCATTTACCATCTTGAGCGAACGCCTCACGATGTTGTTTGTTCACCGGACAGGGCGTGCCAGAATGCCTCCTACTTCACATTGTTTTTAGTGAAAACCAGAAGTTCGGAATTTTAGAGGTGAAGTATCTCTCTTTTATTTGTCTTTGGATATAATTATCATCAAGGGGTACGCCATCTGACCGCGAGGCGGGCCAACCCCCAAAGCGTTTCGCACCTTAAGCGTTATACGTTCCTCTTTAGAGTTTGTTAAACATTGAGTACGATAAATTATGCTTGAAAAATAATGAGTGAGTTAGCAGACTCTAAAATCGTTAGTTTTCGTATCCGTTTGATTATCGTTATTACTTCAGATAGTTATATGAAATAATGAATTACTGATGGTTACGAACAGACGTATATTTTCAAGTATTTCAAACGTGAACAGGTGTAAGTTCAAAACGATGATAATTCAAAGGTCTCTGTAGTCTTCAGCTATTACATGCTGGTTGACAAGGCATGAGTTTAAGCTGCAAAATTTTACATTACGAGTGCAATAAAAAAAAAAAAAAAAAAAAAAAAAAAAAAAAAAAAAAAAAAATTGTACCAATCTTCCTGCACCTGTAAGCCGAAGTAGCAGTGATCGCGATAAGTTGTGATTTGATCGGAAAATGTAACGCGATTTTATCGACCTTGATTTATAGCGATATTATTGAACAAAAAATCGTGATGAATTGGAATAAACATTCGATTTTATCGATCGCAACTTTATGGATGTTTAAAATTGCGACCACAGGCGGATCTAGCAAATTGGCAACATTGTCTTTAGTCCATTTAAACCAATGGAAATGTATCGATCCTTGGAGGGGCCAGGTGCTCCGACAAGAATCGATTATATAGCATACGTTTAAACGGAGGAAATTCGGTGTTGCCAAATTGCTGGATCCGCCTCTGATTGCGACAAGATCGAGGATATTCGCTCGGATGTTGATGATCCTAGCGAAATTATCGCCAAAAATCGTATAAAAATCGCAACTTAATTTCAAAATGTCGAGATTTTCCGTTCAAAAATGGCACTTGGGAATGCGGTGAAGCTAGGACTTTACTTTGAGCTTTGAAACACAAGATGGTTGCCCATTTCATTGTGGTACCAGCATTACATTTTTCACTCGAAGAGCATGTACAATTTTTAATTTCTAAAATATGTCGATATTCCCACAAATATAGATACCTCACATTCGTTGTCAATTCGTGAGAGAACTCAGATCGGATGGAGTTATGAAGTGGCGTATCAGTTATGAAGGGCGTGGCTGTCTTAAGTTTTCCCTCCCCAATCATTTCCGAATTCCAGTGGCAAGGCGTGAATAATCGATTATCGATATTTCCTCTTTGAAACTATGGTAGAGAATCTATTATCAATGTTCGTTGTGAACACCCCGTTAATCGATCTTTTTCCATGCGTTCAAATGACAAATCAATCTACACATCGCAAAGCACGCCGCACTACTGCCGAATTCCATAAGAAACATCTGATGGAGGATGGGTTTCTTGAAATATCTAATTCTGCCTTAAAAATAATTTCTAACTTGGCGATCTACCGACTCTAACCAAACTCAATTTCTTCACTTTTAATACTCAGGGTCAGTAACCTAGGATTGATAGGTTTTGTGCCTCTGGTCTCCGGACTCAAAAATTCTGGGGATTCCCCAAATTTTTAAGATAATGCGTCTATTTTATGTTTATTCTTCTTAGAAAGCTCTTCCATCCCACTGATCTCCACTTTTAAAACTCGCACATGCATCAAAACTTCCTCGTATTTTACTCAAGGGACCTTCAAGTGTTAATAGGTGGAATATAGACGATCTCATTAAGTATATTACTGAATATAAACAATAAAATGTCTCATATCAATGAACGCAATGTAAAAGGTAAAAAAGTATAGGATGGTGCTCTTTTTACTTTTTCTCAACAAGAAAATTAGCTTATATGGTCCTGGTGAGAATTCTGCTTGATCTTCTGATAAATAAACTGAGCATATAAAACGTTAGACGAGGGGCTTGGAAGACAAGACGCTTAAATGCAGTTTTTGAAAAAATTGAGATAATAATTATTTCAAACAAAACTAGTCACGATGCATGTTTTGTGAAAAATTCGCTCCCAAATTCCAATTTTTAAGCATCAAAAAGTCAGTTTGAACTTTCTCTCCGCCATGAGGATTCATGTAGTTTCGCAACTTCAAGCACGTACCTATTTCAAGAAATAACAAGAACTGCACTTATGCGCTTTTTCCTCCAGGCCCCTTAATATTGGCGGATCCAGCAAATTGACAACATTGTTTTTTCTCCATTTAAACCAATGGATCAATTATTGGAGGGACCAGGCCCACCGACAAGAATCGATTATTTAGCATAGATTTAAATGGAGGAAATGCGGTGTTGCCAAATTGCTGGATCCGCCTCTGCCCCTTAGATGTAGTAAGGATGATTTTAGTTTAAACCGTCGAATTGATTGTACTTTTGACTTTTTAAGTGATTAGTCTCTATATTTCATCACCCTCTACCAGAAGAAAGAAGGAAAAGAGGACAGAGAAGAGTCTGTTTTTTTCTCGCACTGTCACTTTTCTTCGAGACAAAAATAGCAAAACTTCTTGAGATTACCGTTTTACCGAATAAAGAAAGGCTGCCAGTCTATTTATTAATGCACTGGCACTTTAACCCACTCCAAAGCGGCCTCTTTGAAAAAAATGCTTGCGATGCCTCTGAAAAACTCTCATTCCTCTCTTCGCAGACCTATGATGGGTGGATCCTTTCACGGATTTAAATCCTTTATAATCATACTTACTGCAGGGTTGCCAGGTTAGCAAAGAATAGCAATAGAAATTGAATATTTTAGAGTAATCGGTTTTTCAACCCTCACACATCGGCATACCTTCCCATTAACCGGAATTTCGCCAAGCCCAGAACCACTCCATGGGTGTAAGGCTGTAAGGTGAATTTGATGGCGATCTTGACCTTTAGGAAGGCCGGTGCTTGACTCGTGTCCGTTGGTAATTAATCGGTGATGCCAATTGAGCTTAATATTTGTCATTCATTGAGTCTGATCCTCGTTTTCTTTCAGAGTTGTGATTTTTTACTCTCTTGCGAATTCCCGGAATTCCGTATCTGTTTAGAACATTCAACTTACTTTAGATTCATCTTGCAAAAAACGGTACAATTATCAATACAGTAAAAAATTTCATTAACAATTGTGCCCAAAGGCTTTTAAAGATAATATACCTTGGTGGGAAGAACACACGAAAGGCTGAAAATAAAAATATCATGCTTGGTTTTCCTCACGAAGTAAAAATGTGATTGGAAAGTCACAGTGAAATTCTGACATGGGTCTGTTGATTATTCTGAAGCATCTCAAAATTTATATCAGTGGCAAAGGAGTAAATAATATTTAAATACAGGGTCCTTCAATTTTTTTGGTACACATTAAGGGTAGTTTCATTAATTTAAAAAATACTTAGTCCGTAGATAAATTATTAAAATCATTCACTTAAGCTGATTTTCTTACAATAAAAACAAACTTACGCTACTTTGGGTGAAAGATAAAATAGAAAAAAAATTACTTCCGAAGCTTGTCGTGGCAACTGTGAAATAAATGATAGAGTTTTCCACTCCCCTGCAATACATTATTGACGAATCCTCTAGCAAATTTAATATCCCAAAAAAAAAACGCCCCTTGAAAAAGGTTGTTTCGAATCCCCCCATGGTTGCAAGGCAATTTATTTTTCGCATACGGAGGCAGGTTTCGATATAATTAGAAAATTTGGTAGGCACTTTTGAAATCCTGCTTTATAGTAAAATGTATCAGAAACACCAGTTCCTCAAGAATGTTCTCTTTCTCGCTAAAGTGGCCAATTTGAAATAGAAAATCATTCCTGCTAAATGTGGCAAATCGAGAGAGGAGATAGAGGTTAAGGAAACGCCCTTTCGGATGATTTTGGGATGAAAAAACTCAACTTGGAAAT